TCGAACTCACAGCGATCCTCCTGCCTCAGCCTCCAAGTGCTGGGATTACAGGCGTGCACCACCACGCCTGGCTGAGATTAACTTTTTTAAATCATAATAGGAGGGAGGCCATGTGGCTCTTGTCTTCCTGTGCCTGGCTTATTTCATTTAACATAATGATCTCTGATTTTACCTGCATTTTTGCAAATGTAAAATTTTTTTTTATGGCTGACTCACATTCCACTCTGTATATGCATCACATTCTCTTTATCCATTCATCACTTCAACACTTAGGTGGCTGCCATTTCTTGGTTATTTTGAGTGGTGCTACATCTCTGACATACTGATTTTACTTTGTTTGGCTACGCTCAGAAGTAAGACTCCTGGGTCATATGGTGGTTATAGGTTTTTTGTTTGGGGGGGTTGTTCTGGTTTTTTTTCCCCCACGATATCTTAATTAGTTTCCTTACCCAGGAACTAAGTAACTCAGTTTCCTAAGGAACTAAGGAACTAAGTTTCCTTACCCAGGAACTCCATGCTCTCGCCAGCACCTGTTAGCTCTGTCCCTTCAGTAAGAACCATTCCTCCTGGAGCAAGAAGCCAATTCCCTGTGGTTTTGATTTGTGTTTCCTTAGTGATTGGTGATTTGAACATTTTTTCATCTTCTGCTGGCAATCTGTATGCCGTCATTTGTGAAATGTCTGTTTAGGTCTGTTGCCCATTTTCAAATCATATATATTTATTTATAACAAAAATAGCTAACTGCCTGCAGCTGGAAGCAGAGGTGGTGTTTATGTACAAAAGATTCAAAGAAGTTTTTCATGTCAGTGGAAAGGAAGGGACAGTTGTTGTACAACTGTAGCCTTACTAAAAATTATTAGCTGTGTGCTGGAAATCAGTAATTTATATATTAAGTTAAATTTTCAAACAGTATCCTTACAAAGCTTTGTTTAAAAACAAAAGGAAACAAAATATTGAGCATGGCCGATCAAATTTCCTTTCTGAATCCTCAGAACTAGAAACCCCAAACAAACAAGAATTATCCGTGGGAACTAAAGCTTCAAAAAGATAGTTTAGTGTGGTGAGAAAAATCTCAGCATTCACATGCATGTCTATAGCATAAGGAACCAGTATAACGAGTAACTGGAGTTGGGAGGGAAGTGTGGAGAGGGTGTGGGAAGGTGGGGAGAACCTCTGAGGAGAAAGAAAGTGCTCATGAGAGAGAGGAGCCGGACACAGACATCCCATCATGCCTGTCTTCCAGTTCCAGACCACATATATCCTCACAAGCGCTTCCCACACTATGGCCTTTGAGACTGAAGTTTAAATGAGATACATTTGTAGTCAAAATGTCCTGAAGGGGGAGGGAAGAGCTCGCGATCTGCCTTGATGGCCCTATCAGATGCCGTGCATCTTTAATGAGTGTAGTTTTGTTATTTCCTTACCCTTATTAAGAAGCAGCAATGGACGGCTCACAGACTTTGCTTCTGTCATTAGGAGATCTCTAAGGCAGAAAGAGATGGCAAAGAGGAATTGTAAGTGTCCAAGACCCACTCTTGTCTAGAAATGCACCAGGAACACCACTTCACTGCCACTCTTATTGTAATCACTTAAGCACCACAGAAAGTGTCTAGAGATAGGTAGTCTAATTTCATTTCATAACTGGAAACTCTGAATTCCTTTTAAGGAGACAGTTCCCTTGTAGAAAATGTGAAGAGTAGAATCTTCTTTCTTTCATAGGAAGAACATTTTCTTTGTAATAGTGTTTGTGTTCGGATAAATTGAACCTATTTTCCAGATAATATAAATCTGAAGGGAATCTTCAGACAACACAAATCAGACATCTGGTGATATATATGACTGTCCCTAATAAAAAATAAATAAAGCTCCCCAGGCTCCTGTAGACTACATCGCAGTTTCTGGAAGATTAAATTCTGTACTTTCTGTTATGTACTAAACATTAACATATTCAGTGACCAAGGTTTATTAAAATCAATGTTTATGCAGAAGTATGTGGTCAGCCCCATGAGTCACTTAAGACTTAATTTCACTTTTCTTGAAGTAAATTGTCCTCTGTACCTTGGTTCTGGAGACTGTTGTTTTTATGTAGTTCCTAAACACAGCTGGGAATGGCTTTCTTCCAAGTTCTCAAAAAGACATCAAAGCCATTTCTTAAAAAATGAACCACCCTGGAAAACAAGTTAATGAAATAAAGGCATTCACTGTTGTCTTTTGCACCTGTCATTTGATTAAACTGCCCTACATTAGGTCTTATAGGTATCTGTTATAAATACCTAGCAAATTCCCTGAACCTTAGCCATCTTTCCTGAGCTGTGCTTTCTGCCCAGCATGGACTCAACAAGACATCATGAACTGCATAGTTTGCATTTGTAGTGTGGCAAAACCAGGACTCTCCCAGATTGCTGGTTAGCACATCTTTGCTCCTGTCCACCTTTTACTTCCCAAGGTGGAGTTGGGTCCATTCCCTCCAAACTCACAGACAGTGGTCCCTGGTTTAGGGTGTTGCGGGTGTGTCGTGTTGAGACATTTGATTCAGTGCATAGAAGTCAGGGGTTCGCTGCTTTACTTCCTGGAAAGGAGTAATGGAGACCAAGCATGGGAGATTCTCACATTGTTTTCTAATCTTTTTCCATTTTCTTCGAGTTGTGTGTCTCCTGTTTGTTGTCTGTGGAAAATAAATAAATAAATCCCAGAATCTATAAGCATCATTGACTCAGTCTTCTGACTTTATACTTCAAGCAATATGGGCATATTGAACTAATTTATTCACTAAGAATATTTTTAAATTTCATCTTTGTACCTTGCACAATTCTAGTTCGTGAGAAACAGTCATCTACTAGAGAGTGCAATTGTGGAATTTGCCTATTCATGGATAAAAAGATAACAAGTTAAATATGAACAATTCAACATCAAATAGACCTATTCTTTTTTAATTT